ATGGAGAGACTATTTACTTAAGAATATAGTCTTTTCATTTGCTTGAGTCCTCTTCTATATTTTGTAAGAATATTTAAAAATTTTCCCCATAAGCCTTTACACATTTTTTATTAGGCTTTGCCTACTTTCTTTTAATTTTGTAGTTTTTTAATTTTGTAGCTTGAAATAATTTAAATTTAGAGAAATGCTGCAAGAATGATACAAAGATCTCCAAAGTTTTCTTTATTCCACAAAGATATTCCAGTTGTTAAAGTTGACATTGATTTTTCTTATTAAATATAATATAATATGACATAAAATAATATAATTCCTTAGTCTTTCCTCATCTTTTACTACCTTGCTAGTTTTGAAGTATAGAGGCCAGTTTGGGTTGCACATTGTTTCCTCATGATCTGAGATAGGTTGTCCACTGTTCAAAGACCTGCCAGAGAAGGGGTGCTGTGTCCTTCATAGTACATCCTCTCGGGGAGGCACATGATGTCAATTTGTCTTGTGTCTGATGATATTAAGCGTGACTAAAGTATCTATCCATTATCTAGCTACATCACTTGTAAGATAATGTTGGCAATTATCATTATCTTTATTTCTAATTTCATGTATATGTGATTTAAATTCCTGTCAGTCAGCTAGTTGTTTTTTTTAATATTTAACAAACTATTTTATTTATTCATTTGCTAACATGTTCTACTGTGTGTGTGTGTGTGTGTGTGTGTGTGTGTGTGTGTGTGTGTGTTTCTGGAGATTAAACCCCAGGGTGTTCTATCACTGAGCCACATTCCAAGCTCTTTTTATTACTTGCTATGTTGCCCAGGCTGGCCTAGAAATAGTAAAGCTCTTGCCTTAGCCTCCCAAATAGCTCGGATTGCAGGCATAGGGAAACATATCTAGCGTATTCTACTTCTGTCAACTCATTACATCTGCTTTAATTCCTGTTTTTAAATTTCCTGTAGCTTGTGCTCACTCTGGCACCACATATACTAAATATCCTGTAGCTTATTTTTTGTTCTTTCCTTACTTCAGTAAATATGCTAAATTTGTTTTCATTCTTTTTTAAAATTCATATTACTTATACTTGAGACTATGTCTTTGTACCTCCTTTATTTTTATCCCCTTGGTAATAATTCATTAATACTATTAGTAATAATGAAACTAATCATTTTCATTATTCTTAAGAATTCCCCCCGGGGATTTAGCTCAGTGGCTCTGCACCTGCCTCACAAGTGCAAGGTCCTGAGTTGGATCCCCAGTAACACACACACAAAAAGAATTCCTACAGTTTTGATTAGTATTTTCTTTGGACACATACCATAGTTACTTAAGAGTTCTAAAATTTCCACGTAAATTGGCTTTTTATTTTCTAATTTTGTCCAAATTTCAATTTTGTCTCTTTTGTTTTAGATTTAGAATATCGTATTTTTGTTCTATTATTTGCCTGGGTATAATTCCCTTAATTCTAGACAATATCTGTTCACTACTTCTCTGAGCATTGACAGCCTGTATCAATTCACCTCTCCCCTTCCTTCTCTTTTCCACCATAACTTAAGTCAGGGGTATTATTTTTCCTAATATTTATCTGTGAACTATTAAATACACCTTCATCTCTCACTTGATTTGTCAGTCTTGAGTAATGTCCTTTGACTCTTGGCTCTTATTGAGGGAGGAGTCCATGCAATTATTCCACCTTCCATCACAGTGGTCTTTCTACAATTCAAAGATTTCTTTCATCTGCTAATTCCCTTCAAATACGGTGTTTTTGTGGGTTTCTGCTTATAGCCACACCTTCTCCCCCAAAGTAAACTGAGCTCAGGAGGCTTCTAAGCCTCTCTTATATTCCTGATCCACCCACAGCATGACCCTCTCATGTTCCAGAGCTTAGCTTTGCTGCCATTTGCCTGGACCCTCTGTAACATCTTCTCTTCCCTCTTCCTCTACTCATTCTGGGAAGCTCAGCTCTGATGTCGGTCCAGGTGTCTCAGGAGTCCCCCTCCCCCAACTTTTGTACCTCCCATTCTTCTGTTCTCCACTGTAGCCATTTCTGTGGGCCTGAGTCCTGTCAGTGATGGGTCCTTTGTGCCTCCCCATAAGCTTCCCCAAGTATACCGTGCTCTCTTCCCATGGGCTCAGTACAGTCTCTACACATTACTTTATATATTCTAAAGTTTGATTTCTGATTATAAAGTTGACATGTTTTATTCTCCCTGTTTATTTTGTCACTTAGCATGGTTTTCAGGAGAGGGGAAGATATTTGAACCTGAGTTATGACTATTTATTCTGGAATAGATTTTTTCACACCCTTAGTAGGACATCTTTATGCAGCTAGCTCACTGACAGTCTGCTGATGAAGTGTTCAGCATATTTTGAATATCGTCTTTACACATTCAATGGAACCAAACTGACAAATTACATATTTATAAATGTATTTTATTTGAAACTTACCAACACTATGTGGATCACAATCACTATTGCAATAAACAGAGGAGGAATGTTCCTCACCTTGCAATGACATTAGGTCTGATAAGCCTAGCATAAGTCACGAATATGTTTAAAGTGCATTTAATACACCTAACCTACTGAACATTATAGTTTAGCCTCATCTACACTACTCAGAGCACTTACATTAACTTATATTTGGACAAACTCATCTAACCAACACAAGCCTATTTTCTAGTAGTGTTGACTCTCTCCTAATTTACTGAATCAGTTGTCTTTCAGTGTCTACAGGGGATTGGTTCTAGGAACCTCTACAGATACCAGAATCTGTATTTAAGGATGCTCAAGTCTGTTATATAAAATGGCAGAATATATGCGTATAACTTATGCACATTCTCCTATGTTCCTTAAATTATTTGTAGGTTACTTATATGTGATACCATACACAAAGTAAATGCTGGGCAAATAGTGGTTACACCATACTATGTAAGGAACAATGGCAAGAACAAAAGTCTGTACAGATTCAGTACAGATGCAATTTTTTTTCTTGAATAAACTTTTTCTGATCCATGATTGGTTGAATACATAGCTATGAAACTCCTCAGAGGTAGAGAGCTGACTTTAGCAGTATCAAGAAAGCACTGACAACACAGAACACTGCAGAGCATTGATTGTTTCTCTCATGGTCTCCAGGAGGATTGAGGGATGCAGCTCATTGCTGCTACCCATCACAGATAGGGGATATTCCCAGCTAGGGAAAAGATCTAAATTCAAAATTCAAGGTATGGCTTTTCCTGAATACCCATTGCTTTTACACCATCACAAAGTAAACAACTGTAAAAAATCATTGTAAGTCAGAGATTGTATTTATGGGTTTATGGACAGTTTGTTCCTCAAGCTACCTGGTCAGAGTTGGCAGCACTGTGAGTACCATATGGCCATAGACGGCTCCTCTGTTTTCCTTCAGGAACAGTTCTAAGCCATCTTTCACTCTGTGTATCCCTACTCTCAACCACTCTAAACAGAAAAAAGAGAGTTCCCTATATATGAGCTTCCCCAGCCTCCATTTACCTACCACGAGAGTACCTATCATGGCAGTTGTGTTCCATGGTTCCCATCCTGGGAAGAGATGCTCTTTCTCTCCAAGACTAGTCTTTCCAGAATTACTATTTTGCCCCTTCCCTCCTTCCCTTTTAGACATTTACAATTATCTTTGACTTCTTACACAAATAAACTCCCTTCCTTCATTCTAAAACTAAACCAAACATCCAGACACATTTCTGCTTCTCTTGCCTCCTTTTAAGAATTCTGCCTCTCCCTCTTTCCTTCACAATCACATGCACCCTCCACTTGAAGCCTCGCCATGAGCTCTCCTGAGCATTGCACTGGCTTGGTCTGGCCTCCCCACGCACTGACACTGCTGTCACTAAAGAAATTAAAGCTGTCCTCACAACAAGAACCATCTCTTTCTCTAATGCCTCTGCACAGCACCCATTTTTCTTGATAGCTAGAAGAAATAATCTGATTCCATTTATCTGCTGTCCTTTGTCAATTATTTTTTTTTTTTTTTTTTTTTTTTTTTTTTTTTTTTGTACCAGGGATTGAACTCAGGACCTTGCACTTGTGAGACAGGCTGCAACACCACTGTGGTAAATTACAGGTCCCCCCTCCTTTTGTCAAATGTAAATTTCACTATTCCTCAGTGTTACAATTTTTTCCTCATGTCGTATCATCTTTATTTTCTCATCTACTTGTTAGTCCAAATAAATAGGTAAAAGATACCCAGTTTAGATGTATTTTAGCAGCTGGGTTTGGTGGCTCCTGCCTGTAATCCCAATACTCTGGGAGGCTAAAGCAGGAGTATTACAAATTTGAGACCAGCTTGAACAATTTAACAACTTAGTGAGGCCCTATCTTCAAATGAATATAAATAAATAGGACTGGCGATGAAGTTCAGCAAGAAGGCCCTGAGTTTGATCTCCAGTACTCTGAAAAACAAAACAACCCCAAAATGCTTTAGCAAAAATTTCCTACTCCTGACAATGCACACATTTAAAATATTACAAGACATTTAAGGTATTTCTTAAAAAATAAATTTAGTTCAATTTTTGAATTTTATCTGTGAATGTCAATCCCGAAAGAAATTTTCATGGGGGAAGGAGTAGGGGAAAAAAACTAATTTTAAAAAAGATTTTTGTGGATTTATAATTGGATTAAGTAAACTGTTACTGATCTCAATTAAGATAACCAGATATATGCACATATATAGACAATTTTAGCATTTCTGCAAGGCATTCTGTTATGGACAAATTGCTTTTGTTAATATTAAATTTAAACAAGTGCAATACTATAGAACTGTCAAATTAAGCAGATAAGTATAAAGCTGTATTATGGAATAAATTTAGTTACTAACAGTACTACAATTATGAGACTTACCACTCTGCTATCTCTTTTAAAAAGCATTTGCAACAAAAGGAGCTTTTAGCAACTTTATTTTCTAAGAATCCTACAAATATGTTTTCTTCTGCATTTCCACTTCTTTTAAAACAAATAGAAATAAAGACAAAAGCTTATCTGGATACAGGCTTGGAGTCGACTGCAATGAGCTTGTTCAGAGAGCTCAGGTCCTTCAGAAGGAGCTCTGCACTGGGTCGCTGCACAGCCAGGGCCCTCCAGCAGCAATCAATGATACTCTCCAGCCTTTGGCCAAGGACAGAGTCAGTGAAGACAGCTGCTGCCAGGGAGGGACGGAGATTGTGAGCCACCACTGCATAGAGCACGTACTGCTGCTCCCCGGAGTAGGGCACTTCCCGGGTGGTCATTTGCCAGAGAGTGATAGCAAAAGAATAGATGTCGGCTTTTGTCGTTACAGGCTCTCCTTTCAGGAGCTCTGGCGCTTGGTGGGTGTATGTGCCTCCTAGGTGGTAAGGAGGAGTTTGGAAGCATCGCAGATCTTCTAGCTTCTCAGAGCAGCCAAAGTCACCAATTTTACAGACATCCTGCTCACTGATCAAAATGTTCGCCGGCTTCAGGTCCAAGTGCACGATGCTCTGTGAGTGAAGGAAAAGCAGGCCATTTACAACATCTAGGGAATACTTTAGACATTTCCCCAAACATAACTGCTTTCTTTCGCAGTGGTGAGGCTCCCTTGCCTCCTCCTCAAGGTAGCTGGTGGCACCATAGATGACTTGGTGTAAAGTGATGTTGCCCCCAAACTCCATGATTATGGTACCCAGACTATTGGAACCTGTGGGCGTTCGGGTGCTGGCAGCCACAACCCTCACTATGTTGTCGTGATGCAGCCTGGCGATGTTGAGCTCAGCCCAGAAACTCCGCTGGGATGCTCGTAGGTTCTTGGTTTGCTTGCTCACTTGCTTTATGGCCACAGGAACACCATGGTAAGTTGCCTTGTACACTGAACCAAACCCTCCAGTTCCCAACCTGTGTAGCAAGCGCACCTGTTCCCAGTCAATGCAACACCAGGCCAGCCGGCGTGGCAGCCGGGGGGCCCGAGGAGGAGTGTTCCCCAGAAAGAGCTTCCCTGCCTTCCCTGGGAGCTCAGAGGGGCTGCTGCAGGGCCGAGAGTCCACTGATGGGGACAACTCCCTAGGGAGGTAGCGGCCCAGGGCCAGTGGTGAAGGCATCGCACTCCCCACGGGTCAGACAGGGAGAATCTGGTGAGTAAAAGGACCAGGAAATCCTCGGGGGTTTGGAAGCATGGCGGATTACCCCTTCCTCATGCTAGCCCTTTTCTCTTCTTCCTTGTTTTCTCCAAATGAGCTACATCTGTGCTGTCACTCAGCAAGGGTTATCAGATGGGGGAAAATCTGAATGACCTAGACAATCCCTTTCAGATGAAGAATTTCACACATTAAATCACTCTCTCACTATAAACAGCACTGAGCTGTCCCAAGATTCACCCCTTTTACACTATTTCTTTAATCATAATAAATTTTTTTCAAGTCTCATCGAATGAACATTATCAAGCCATTCACTGAAGAGACTACAAAGTACAATGAAATTGTTGCCCATTTTGTAGGCTATAATGATTGTTAATGCTATTCTCCAGCTTCATTAAATCACTCCCAGCAGTTATTGGCTGCAAGAGTCAAAATACAATCAGCAGACATTTGTTAAACCATTTACTTAGATAATTAGGCGCAAGCTTCATATGAATTAACAATTGAAACCTTACAGCAATTTATCCAAATAAAATCACTGATTCAGGTCAAAACATACACCACCAAAGTTCATCAGGGGTAAGGAGAATTCCCACTCTTCTATTTATTCAGCAAATTTATAAGACCTTTTAGCAATATAATGATTTCCTAAAAATCCTTCTTCTCCAAGGCAACTCAGCACACCCAGTGGACTTATTTGCAAGAGAAATTCTAGATAATGAGCTATGGAAGTTTTGAAGCACTGTAGGGGGAGGAAAAAAAAAAGAAGCAAAATAATTGAAGTGATAATCAGAGCTTCAAATAATAACAAATATGGGAGAATTGTAAAAGACAAAAATTCTGAAGAAATAAAAATGGAACAAAATCACACACACATATTAGAAAATAAGAAGTTGAAATTAAAGGAGCTAGTCATCAAACCATAACTTCTTCCTGACATTTATAATAAAATTAATTTTGCACCAAATCTTTGGATAAAAGACCAACATTACCCTATTTTTTAAAAAAACCACAATTGCTAAGATCTGCATTTTTAATCAAATCCATATAGATGATACCACATTTCCCCCCCATGGAAAAACTTATTTATTTGATTAAACAAAAATAAAATAAGCTGCATAGGAACAATTTCAAAGTCCAAAGAGACACCAACTTTGTTTCAAGGCTGTAGTCGCGGATACAGCATCTCCTTGCTACCTTCTGCAGCCTTCTCTGTGGACCACAGTGATACATCCAGAAGCCTGTTATCTAACACAGGAGTTTTGAACACTTTTCCATTGCTTCTTCACCTGCTCATTACCTGTCATGCCTGTGGCCTACACTATTAACATTTAAGATTTAAAAGCAATAACCAAGAGGGGAAATACATAGTCTAAACAAACAAAAACCCACTTTTGCCTAAAGGTCGGGAGTAAAAAATCTACTTCCCTACCCATCCACTGAAATGATGGGATGGGACACGCACTAGAAGTTAACGCCCATGTAAAAGGTGGCACGAGGCAGCCAGCACCCAGACAGGCTTGCAGCATTGCTTCTGTGGCCAGGGAGATACCACATTTTTATAGCAATTTGTAACTATATGCTCTGAAGTGTATTGCTTTTGAAAAGGTAAGTTAATGACCATGAGTCATTTGCATAAGCAATTTTAAGTCTCTGTAGTCCTAGAAGTTTTCTATTCTATGTTCTGTGGCTTAGACTGTCATTTTATGTATATTTAACCTATTTGAGCCTCAATCAATGTGTTGGCTATACCTATACTCCCTGCTGGTTTCAGCCCACAAGTTCAAGACCAACTTGAGCAAAACAGTAAGACCTTGCTCATCTCAAAGGGAAAAACTAGTACCCTATTTAACATTTCAGTAGAAATACAGTTCTGTGCAATTGTATCAAGCCTGAGTTATAAAAGCATGATAATGAATAGAGAAAATTTTAAAAAGTAAAGAAAAAATTTTATAAATCTGTATCGCAAAATTCATCTTATTATTTGTTATTTTCTTTGTAATAAATTCATATTATGTTATTGCTTAAGTTTAAAATTTTATCCTGATTTTGCTACCATGATATATGCACTATATCATACTTGGTTCTCAGAAATAAAAAACCCTGAGCATAATGGAAAAGAACAGAGGCTCTAGAGCCAGATAGCCTCAGTTTTCTCTTTTGCAAAATAAGGTAAATGTGCGGCCTCAGGATTGTTGGATTAAGAGAGCTTCTAGTTCTATTCAGGTCAGAATTTACAGGTGATAACACCTGAATGCTAATTATTATTTATGACATTCATAAAAAAACAATGTGTATGGCTTATACCAGTAAGAAATACAAATTTGTTATGTAACATGGGTTTCACAATATCTTACAGGGGCTGAAGTAATTCATTTCATTGTAAGTTAAAAGTCTGAGTATTTCTCTGGTCTTACATTTTAAAGTAAAAGGCAAAATGTTGTCGTATTATTAGTATGTACCCAAACCACGGAGTTTCAATCAAATGTAGTAAGTCTTTGTGATTCCCCAAAGGCTAAGAGCAAAAACTGTTGGTAGCAGTGCAGGCACTACCTGGAAGTATGAAAGGGACAAACCAGAGGAAGTAAAGGGATTGCGGGAATCTCCCAACAAGCCTTTTAGCTTAAAGACTTCACATTTCTGCTTTTAGTAACATGTTTCTGCATCAAGCAAACAATAGGGTACTTATCACGAGAGGTGACAACAGACTGCAAAATTAATAGTTCAATTCATTGTATTCTAAAGAGGCCGAGGAACGTCGGGTGCGGGCGTCCCCTCTGGGAGTGCAGAGCGGAGGTGGAGCACAGGTCCCGGGAACTGAGCGCTGCTCTTCAGGCACCGGGGAGCCCCCTGTGCTGTCAGGTCCCCGCGCGTCCCCTCGCCCACCCACTCGTCGGCGCTGGGGAGGGGGGCAGGAAGCACATGGTCGACGCCGTCATCCCGCGCAAAGACCACCGAGGCTGCTCTCAGCTCCCCTTCTGGGTACACAGTAACTTTTCTTTTCAGCTCAGGGTCACCACATAATCTTTCGGGAGACATTTTAAAAAGGCCGCGCGACTCTACCGGCGCGCAGCGTTGCATTGCACCCGCGCAGGACTGCGGCGCGGGAAGGGTGCGTTTGCGCGTGCGCACTGGCAAGCGACGAGGGTGGAGGCTGCTTCAGGGATCTCGGGTTACAGCCCTATTTCAGAACCGGGAAAAGTGAGAGGAAGACTATTGTGATCGTGGATGTGTTGTATTTACAAACGTGAATTAAGCTGAAAAACTCACTTCTGCTTTTTGAGAACAACAACAAAAAAAAAAAAAAGAAGAAGAAAAAGAAAGAAAGAAAATGTAGATGAATAGTACGTTTTAGTAATAGCTCCAATGCAGATTATAGTCAATCTTGAATTTGTTATTGATTTTATTTAATCAAGTAGCATTATGCTATTGATATTCTGAAGTTTGAGTTTTATACCTAGCAGTACAACATAGACTTGCTTCCGTGTCAGTTAAGTCCATATAGAGCTACTTATCTTTTCTAATGTCAGACACAGATCCTGTGGGACCGTGGGTCGCGTGAAGCTCGTCCCTGGGTGTAACCTCTGCACACTGCCAGGTTCTGTCTCTTCATGTAGCTTGGTCCCTACCATCTGTGCTGACCACTTCCATTTTGTATTTTGACTTTTAAGTACATAAATACATTTCCTACTTTTCTAAAATATCTTGTAACTTGACAGGATTTTAAGGCAGGCAAATATCTTTCAAACTATTTTCAGAAATCTTTGAGTTTAATGATATCTTACATTTTTCTCATATTTTTGACCATAAAATGCTCGTGGATATTTGAGTGTATCTAATTGAAATTTGGCAGTCCTAAATGACTTGTGTTCACAACTTATAGGATCATCTTGTCAGCATCCTCCCTTAAACCAGGAAGTGCTCCCTGTATATTTAATATTTACTAAATTCTACATTTTCACGAGTAATAAACGAGTCCAAAATAGCATGTTTGATTGAAAGATTCAAAAGTAACATGACCTATTCAGTTGTCAGTTTTACTAAACTTTATGCAAAAATTTCTCCTTGGTATCATGGCAGACTCATGGCTTTTTATCAATTCCATAAACTACAATAATTATTGTATTTTATTGCTCAAACTAACCCACTTTGGCCAGTGTAGCGCCCTGTTGTGTTCTTTTGACGTGGTCCCATTTGATCTCAATCATTTCTTGTCTCTTGTACAGCAGATTGCCACAGACTCCTAATGGCTTTTGGAAAGCCATCCTTCTCCTGGAAGGATGGCAGTAGAAATCATGATGGCAGCATTAAATTCACCCATTAGATGCATGGTTCATTTGTCTTAAGTTTTTAAATTCATTTTAGCAACAGATTTGGATTCTGTCTTTTAAAAATATTTCTTCCCTTCCTTGCTTCCTTCCTTCCTTCCTTATATCGGGGATTGAACTCAGGACCTTGTGCCTGTGAGGCAGGCACCAGCACCACTGAACTAAATCCCCAGCCCCATATAGTCTTGATTCAAACAAAATAAATGTAATTACTTATTTGTTATCAAAAAGCTTATTAAATAAAGTTTCAGGGTTTTTCTATTATTTTTATCCTTAAGGTACGCTAAAAATGTGTAGTTACATTATTTACTTGCATTGCAGAGTTTTAATTCCTCATTCTACAAGTCTTTTATATTACACATTTTGTATCATTCATTACTTTTCAGTTCTGGTAGGTTGTCAGTATACCTAGTAGGAAGTTTTCGCAGAAGATACTGGTTTTCAGATAAGAGATTTTTAAGTTTTGTGATACTCAAATTCTGGAGCATGATAAAAAAAAAACTGTTTTCAGAGTCTATCCTATTGAGATGGGAGTTGAAGGAAAAAACAAGAAAATTAATTTTACAGGTTCTTTATTAAAATTACATTCAGTCATTATCTGATCCACTTTATTTACCAATTGTCATATGATATTTA